GAAGAATTCCAGATGAAAGCATCACAGCGTCCTCTGCAAAAAGCGACGATCACGCTCCTTGGTTTGCAAGGGTCGACGACGATAATGCTTGGTGCTCAGCGCCCAAAGATACATCACCATACATAGAAATTCTATTGGACGAGCAGAAGTTAATAACGGCCATAACAACTCGAGGAAGTTCTTCCGATCTCAGCTGGGCAAGAACATACGAAGTTAAGTACTTGGAGAAAGGTAGATGGAAACCATACAAGGAGGTATAGACTACCTTTTGATTCGATAACTAGGCCTTTCCACAAATTTCCGGATAATTTAGAAGTTTCCGAGCTACTTAGAAAATTTAAGGATATTTAGAATTATCATAGCTTTTATGGCTTAGCGCTGTGTTTTCTTCGCTATTTTCTTGAAACAGTACGCAGTTCTGTGCAAGAAATGATCCATTTCAACCATGTCCCACTTTAAAACTATATTCATCACTAAAAGCGCTAATGCCGCAATTTTCCAAAATGGCGGATACTGGTAACATCGAAGTGGCTGAATTTTCGTCCTCGACCCTTGATGCGCTGCAATGTAAATTTTGAAAATTCTGGCCTAAGCGATTGAAATCGGTGTATTTTTCCGACAAAAGTACGAGATATTTAGAAGGTTTTTTGAAATCTTCAGAATTTTTTTTCTGATATGTAGAATTTATTTATTTTTTTGAGAATTTCCGATAATATATTTAAACGATTTAATGAGATATTTGTGGAAAGGCCTATCGTTAAAAGAGAAAATGATGTTATCAAATAAAATATTTCTTTCTCGCTTCACAGTAGTCTTTCCTTGTTTTGTTTTAGTTTGTTCGTTTGTTTGTTTGTTTGTTTGTTTGTTTGTTTGTTTGTTTTTTATTATCATCCACAGGAACTTGCAGGCAACAGAAATACTCGTGCCTTGAATACAAACAAGCTTGATCCCGCAATCACAACACAAAAGATCCGAATCTATCCAAAGGAACCGGTTTCATTGATGTTGGGTCCCTCCGATCCTGTTCTTTCTTGTCTCAGACTAGAGTTACATGGCTGTTCTGCACCAGGTATATTGTGATCTGTATAAGTGAAGACTATTCCACTTGAAAGTCACTGCTATCTGGTTATTCTTGCGTTATGCTTTAATCACGACCAACAGAAACGTAATAAAAAATTAGTGATAAATTTCAAGCTAAAGTTGCAGTGTACAAAGAATCCGAGCATACAGAGTCACATCTAACAAATGCTCGGTCAATTTGTATATCAGTATGATTTTTCAAGAACAGCGGAACTCGGCCTAATTGGGGTAAGAGATAAGAGCCAACTCAAAGAACTGCTTTTAAGCATTGAAAGCTTAGAAGCTCTCTGTTAGTTGAGAGCTATAACTATGTTACTCCTGGATATCTGAGTTCTTAATAGATGTTTCCACTATACAAAACCCGGTTTCATGTATCTTACCTTTGCTATGAGACATTTCATTTGAGTTTTGTAGCTTTGCGCCGAGGTTTTCTGTATATTTTTTGACCCAACCTCGTTTCCAGGGCTTTTCCCTCTCTTGGGGCCCCGCCCCCAAGAGAGGGAACGAGGTTGTTCTTTGGCCTTCTGTTTTGAGTTTGAACCTGATCTCAGAACTGACAAAAGCAGTGAAAAAACATTTGTCTACAAAAAAAAAAAATACACTTCGGTTACCTTTTAATCCTGGTAGCGATAACCGGCTTCCGAATAACCCGGCCCAGTTTACAACAAGTTAACCTGACATGGCTACTGATCTGAACAGTTTATGTCTTAGAAAAAGTATTATTTTAATGTTTTAGAGTTTTTCGAGAGATAAATTCACGGTTTTGTAACAAAACTCAGTGACAGATGTTTCTGTTGGTTTCCGGTCGCCATGTTGGTGCCCATACGGATGGGCACCAG